CAAAGAAGCAGGCCCTCGCTAAGATATTTTCCATGAGCGTTTTCCTTACTGAAATATATTGCCCTGTAACACTGTGTACACTTAAGGTGTACAACAGGTTCTTTTGATATATTTCTGTACTGTAATATGGTCGCCATTGTAACAATAGTTAGCACCTTCATCACATCCCATAATGATCATGTCTTTTCAAGATATTTTCTATGGAATAGTTACAGTGCTGCTATTTCAAGAAGTACAGACCAGGTAACGGGAATCGAGTCATTTGTGTGCTAATTTCTAAAAGCAAGAGTTGGAGAAAAGATAGGCATCATAGCGATGGTTACACCCGGCCAGAATCTGAGAGCTCAAACTCCTGGGTGTGGAGTAGAGGGGAAAACAGGTTAACAACCATAGGAAGATCACTGGTGGGTGAAGAGGCCGGAGATCCGGATCTTCCTACCTTGGGGTTAAAACTTGCTCCACCTTCAACGTCCAGAAACCAGTGATGCGTCTTCTGCCATGACCTTTACTGATCTCCCGTCTCCTGGCACTTTGATGAGATGACACTGGACATCTCGTCCATTATTTTTCTCTATAACATCAATTTTGAGGTTCTGCAGGGCAACTGTTTCCTGACCTACTTTTTCTTTTCTTTGATACTCAATACTTAATTTGATGATGTCGACTGTCTCACACATGAGGATGATTTCTGCAAGAAAAGTTTGGGCGTGCTTTGCTTGGGGCTTCCAAAAAAATGCACAGGAGTGTCTGTGATATAAGATGTACCTGTTCAGCAATCTTTAAAACCTGCTACTCGGTAGAGGATCATCAATGCCGATCAGGGAAAGTCTAGAGTTCACACTGGAAACCTGGCCACACATCTTTTATCCTTGAAACTCCTTCTGAGGATTACGTGGTATTGTATATTGCTTGTTGTTTTTCTCTAAATCCTGTCTTGTCGAGGGCAATGTCAAGAAGACAGTGCACGGGGCTGCTTGGACATCATGCCCGTGCCAGCTGATCCCACAAATCATGTGCCTTTTATGAACATCTCAGACAAAAGATGATTCTGTCCTCATTGAGTTTAATCAAATCGGTTCCCACCCCAAAGCTCCCAATGGAAAAGCACTTAGAATGATAGTTGGGAGGCGGGGAGGCGGCTGAATCACACGAGGTAACGCAAGTGAAATGATTCCATAAGCTTTAACACGTGGCTTTCAGTGACTGTGATTATGGATGCCATCATTACAATTAAAATCACTACTAATGACATATTTTAGACCATTTTTGATACTTTAAAAATAGGTCTTAGCAAACTACAACCAGTGTGCCAAATCTGGCCAGCTGCTTGTATCTGTGTGTTTTAAGGGTTGGTGAGTTAAGAATGGTCTGAACATTTCCAAATGGTTACTTTTTTTTTTTTTTTTTTTTTCTGTGGTACGTGGGCCTCTCACTGTTGTGGCCTCTCCCATTGTGGAGCACAGGCTCCGGACGCGCAGGCTCAGCGGCCATGGCTCACGGGCCCAGCCGCTCCGCGGCATGTGGAATCTTCCCGGAACGGGGCACGAACCCGTGTCCCCTGCATCGACAGGCGGACTCTCAACCACTGCGCCACCAGGGAAGCCCCAAATGGTTACATTTTAAATGGTTGTATATATGCCTGTGTTAATTGCCTCAACTTTGCATCTTGGTTCACCAAGTTGAATGTCTAAAATATTTACTTTTAAAATATTTAGGATTTTAAAATACTAAAATATTTACTTTAAGAAGAAGTTTGCAGAACTCTGCCTTACATTTATACATAGTTAATTCAAAATGGGCATCAAAGGATATTCTACAGAACCTGCAAGGAGCGGGATGAATATTACACCCAGGTCAAATATTACTCTGAGGGCTTCCCTGGTGGCGCAGTGGTTGAGAGTCCGCCTGCCGATGCAGGGAACACGGGTTCATGCCCCAGTCCAGGAAGATCCCACATGCTGCGGAGCGGCTGGGCCCGTGAGCCATGGCCGCTGAGCCTGCGCATCTGGAGCCTGTGCTCCGCAACGGGGGAGGCCACAACAGTGAGAGGGCCGCGTACAGCAAAAAAAATAAAAATAAAAAAATAAAATATTATTTTGAGCGTTTGTACAGTAGGGCCCATGTCATTGAAGGATTACAAAAGAAATCCCCAAATATGTGAATGTGCTTTTTCTCTAGAGTCTATAAAACACATTTTGTAACTTAAAGAGTTTCACTTGTGTTCTGCTCCAGAGATAATTTCTCAAATAATTACTAGTAAAGTGGTTTAGCTGCAGAGAAGTTAATCTTCTGGAGGAAACCATCTGTCATTCTCCTAATACTATTTACACAATTCTTATTAAGGTATCAGCCTAATAACTTTCCCTTTTTTTTTTTTTTTTTTGCCTCTAAGCATTTATTTAATTTATTTTTTTGCATTCAGAATCTTTATTTAAAAAATATGGAACGCTTCACGAATTTGTGTGTCATCCTTGCGCAGGGGCCACGCTAATCTCCTCTGTATCCTTCCAATTTTAGCATATGCACTGCCGAAGTGAGCACCTAATAACTTTCTAAACAGGGTGACGGGTAACGGGAGGACGATTTCTAATCACTCAGGAGCCGTTTGCGTCCCCTGTGCGCTTTAAAGCACAGCTACGCATTCCTCAAAGTGCTTGCCGAGAAATTTCCCTCTATTTCGGGGGCTCTGATTTTCAAACATTCACATATGTCTGTTGCTGAAACATCTTCCCTCACCCAACACTTTAACCCCCTGAGAGAGTGTGCACAGACAATCATGAAAGGGTTTAAGCAAGAAATCATTTCTAGAAAAGACACATATGTTTGGCTTCTAGGTAACACATGTGGCCAGTCTGAACTGAAATCTGTACGAACAGAGACTCCATGAAGGTTCATCACCCACAAAATTCTTTACTCCTTTGTACAGAACTGCTGTTTTACTGAACGTTAACAGCACTTTGATCTGAACTGATAATTGTTTCTATAGCGGTTGTTTATTCCAGGTATACTACGTCTTAGCACTGTGCTCTACATGCAGACATAACAACAACAACAAAACACCCCCACAAACAACCCAATCAAAATATGGGCAGAAGACCTAAATAGACATTTCTCCAAAGAAGAGATACAGATGGCCAAGAAGCACATGAAAGATGCTCAACATCACTAATTATTAGAGAAACGCAAATCAAAACTACAATGAGGTAGCACCTCACACTGGTCAGAATGGCCATCGTTAAAAAGTCTACAAATAACAAATGCTGGAGAGGGTGTGGAGAAAAGGGAGCCCTCTTGCACTGTTGGTGGGAATGTAAGTTGGTGCAGCCACTATGGAGAACAGCATGGAGGTTCCTTAAAAAAGTAAAAATAGAGCTACCATATGATCCAGCAATCCCACTCCTGGGCATATATCTGGAGAAAACCATGATTCAGAAAGATCCATGTGCCCCTATATTCATAGCGGCACTATTCACAATAGCCGAAACATGGAAGCAACCTAAATGTCCATCAACAGATGAATGGATATAGAGGATGTGGTACATACATACAATGGAATATTACTCAGCCATAAAAAATGAAATATTGCCATTTGCAACAACATGGATGGACCTAGAGATGATCATACTAAGTGAAGCAAGTCAGAAAGAGAAAGACAAACGCCATAGGATATCACTTATATGTGGAAGCTAAAATAGGACACAAATGAACATATCTATGAAACAGAAACAGAATCACAGACATAGAGAACAGACTTCTGGTTGCCAAGGGGGTTGTGGGGTAGGGGAGGGAAGGACTGGGAGTTTGGGGTTAGTAGATGCAAACTATTCCATATACAATGGATAAGCAACAAGGTCCTACTGTAGAGCACAGGGAACTATATTCATTATCCTGTGATAAACCATTATGAAAAAGAATATATATGTATATAACTGAGTCACTTTGCTTTACAGCAGTAATTAACACAACACTGTAAATCAACTACACTTCAATGAAAAAAAAAAAGAAATGTAAATGCAGACATGTAATTTCAGGGCTCACAGGAACCCCTATGATATAATGAGCGTCGTGTAATAGGAAGAGGTCCGCGTGAGAAGACCAAATTCTGTTTATCTGTTACTATCTGTGCCCCTATATGAGTTTGCTCATCTGTAAAGGAGAAAGGAAGAAAGAGGTGATTGTGGTACTAAAAATACCACGTAGTTTAAAGCCTAGACAAGTGCTGGAGGAATAAAATGCGCCCATGTATATAGGAAAGCCTTAAAGCTGGAGAAGGAGAAAGTGAAGGAGGTCTGAAAACCTACACAGAAGGGTGTGTCGGGAAGTGCAGCCCAGCTCAGCTCAGATGACACAGTCCAAACCACCCAGATGGGGACTGGACGCTCAGATGGTGAATCTGATGTGTCAGCCTGACGGGGCCACAGGTGCCCAGACAGCTGGTTAGACATTAACTCTGGGTGTGTCTGGGCGGGTGTTTCTGGAAGAGGTTAGCATGGGAATCAGTGGATGAGGTACAGCAGACGCCCTGACCCTAGTGTGGGTGGGTGTCACCCAATCCCTGGAGAGTCTGCGTGGAACCAAAGGCAGAGGAAGGTTGACTTTGCTCTCTTCCCAACTGCGTGAGCTGGGACGTCCGTCTTCTCCTGCACTGGGAGTTACAGCATCAATGTTCCTGGTTCTCTGGCCCTGGGGCACACCCATCTCTGGCTTCTGTCTAACCAAGTTGCTGTCACTTCCCCAAAGATGCCCCGTGCTTCGTCACCTCCAGCCCCATCACTCCACTTTTCATCCCTGCATCAACTCCCCTATATATTCTGCCTCACCTTATGAAATCTCAAGGCTCTCCCATCCTTCAGAAAACCAGAAGTCCCATCCTGAAACGAAAGCTGTCCCCCTTCGAAGCATAAGAGGTCAGTCACCCATCCAAATCTTCATAAACGCTGTTAAAGTAATGAGCTCAGGGCTTTTGTATGCAACACCCAAAACAGGATTTGAACTTTTACCTGCATCGTCCTTGAGCCTTTTAGTGTGTGTTCATCTCATCCTCGTGTGCTCCTTGCAGGTTCCTGCGTGGCAGGGTCCCTGGGTTCTGCTTCCTTGTACACCCCACCCTCTGCAAAGCCTTCCGCAGCTGAAAGGTACACAGTACGTGCCTGTCAACGGGCTGATTCATGTTGTGATGGATAAGACCCACTCCCTGGTAACCATTTAAGGGTGCTGAATCTCTCCTACTGTTAGCAGCCATTCAATAATAATACCCAATCAGCAGAGATCAGAATCTCACTCCTGGTATAAACATTTCTCTAAACGGCACTGTTTCTAGGTCTGCATGGCAGGCTCCTTAAGACAGGACCACCCAAAACTCAAGGGCACACAACGTGTGCCGTGAGTGTTAATTTTGTTTCACTGCCGTGCTTTTCAGTAAAGCCTGCATTCTCACGTCTTGCTACTGCTGCAGGGCCCGAGAAATACCTCCCTTGGATGGGATGGCGATTTCCATGTTAGGCTGGGGCAACTGAACCGAGGGCAAGGTCATGGCCTGAACGCACTGTCTCATAATAATTACAGAGTGGCTGTCAGCCTGGGCCTCCCACGTGTGAGAGGTGGTACTGAGCCATGGGGACCCACTTGGAGTTCCACAGACAGGGCATCCCCTCTCTTCCTACTCTGCTTGCGTACCTGCATCTCCATCCATTGGGAGCATCCCCCATGCACCTGTGCCCTTGTCCACCAGGCGTGAACTCAGATGCACCTGCCCCATGGATTCTGAGACAGGGCTGGGGAATGTCATACAGATTAATATAATAGAAAAGGCTTATATATTGCAGGTTGTCACCCCTCCTGAGGCTTTTTAACGCCACTGGTTCCCCCTCATTTTCTTGTCGCTGTTGCTGCTTCCTTTTCAGTAACATTCACTTTTTGGAAGAGCCCCACACACCTCTGTACCGGGTGGTGCACGTGGCAACGTATGTCATCATTTTACTTACACCCACCAGCCCTAATTTCAGGAGCCCTTTAGCAGCCTCCTTCATCCTTAAGCCGTATGCGATGTGGCCAACTCTGCATTCCCTCTATATTTATCAACCTATTCTACTTTTAACAATTTTAATTTTTAAACATGGCTGATTAGCCTTTTAAGATAATGGTGGATGTAATGGTGTGTAACTGAACATAAAGGTTAGAATATTTCCTTTCCAGTCCTCCCACCCACCGGCCCCCAGGCTCATTCTGGATGCATCAGTTATTCGTTAAGATTTCTTTTAGCTTCCGGCTTCCAAAGAAATGCCTATGGAAAGCAGAAATGGTGCCTGAGCAGAAACATCTAAAAAATTATTTTGGCATCTCACTAAATACCTAGAAATTGGGTCTAATCTAAAAATAATTCGGTCATAGTTTTTCTTTCTGTCCTTTTGAGACCCCATCATTCTATAATCTTGAAGGCATGCTCACCAATAACAAAAGGAGTATTCTTTTTGGTGCCATTGTTCGGTCTGCTGAAATCATCCGTTTATTCAATCCATGTCTCAGGAATTACGCAGTGGTGGGAAGCAGCTACGATTTGGAGGCATGGTGTCTATTAAAAATTAAGCAAGCGTTCACCCCTCTTGGTCACCAGTGACCTTTTTGTATCTAATCTTTTTCTCGGCACCTGTTAGCAGAGCAGACTCTCTTCACTTAACCACTCAAGGCTTTCTAGAAAAACCAGCTTGCCATGGCCAAACTTCAATAGAACCCAGGCTGCTGGAAAGCACAGGGAGATCTGGGCTTCGTGCATTTTGGGCAAAGCTCTTACAGTGCACAGGTGCACACAAAGATGCGCCAAAGGGGGGCTTTCCTGAAGCCTGAAACTAACAACAAGCTCACGAAAATGAACTGGTCACTTGACATTTAAGAAAAGATCTCGTGCAGATACCGATCTGTCAGCTGGTCTCGTTCAGAAAGTTATCGATCCAGCAGTTGTTTACTGATTTTTACACCACCCCTGCTCTTAAAAAAAAAAACAAACAAACGCTGCAACTAACTTACTTTATCTCATATGCGAATAAGACAAATGTAAGAAAAAGCAGGATGCTTCCCAGAATTCAAATCCTTCGCATTTGTCTTATCGTTTCTTTGCTTTACAGTTGTGAAGGAAGCCTAGCTTACCTAGGAGAGGGGTCTGCACGTAGGGCTGCAGCCTCCCTCTGCCATAGGTTTGGGATATGTACCACATGCAACAGACACAGAATTATGAAAACGGAACCCTGGGCCGTCAAACTGCATCACATCCATGGTGCTCTTGTACGTTCCTTACGAGTAATGCCTCTTCTTACCTTTCTCTGCTGCGCACAGAATTCTTATGTGGGATTTCCCACAAATACAAGTCTCAAGGGACTACAGGAAGTGGCAGTCTTTCCCAGAGGCAATCTGGAGTACTCCAATACTGGTGCAGTTGCATTGGGTGGAGCTACCAATCTCAAGCCCCTGAACACAGCTGCCCCAAGGCCAAGGGCCTCCCGTGGTCCTCTGTCCTCAAAACTGTGGCAGCCCATTGCCCCTGGAAACCCTGTTGGTGTCCAGACTTCACAACAGGGTGGTCTGCCTACTCTGGGGATCTTCTCCTGTTGGGAGGAGACGAATGGTCTGGTGAGCATGGAAGGTTTCCAACCGTCTCCCCCAAGAGGAGCAAACACTGATAGGCACGTGCGCGTGAGAAGGCGTTCACCGAGACCGGCACGCGCGCATCCGAAGGGGTCCTCCTAGGCCGCAGAGCAAGATGCCTGATGAGATTTAAGAGAGTCCAGGAGGAGGCAGGGGTGACGGGATGCTGGGGAGGGGGGGAGCCCTCCGCCGTAATCAGAAATGTGCGAATGACATTTAAGCCCATGAAGGGTCCAGGGATCAAAGGGGTGACAGAAGCAAGGCCCGCGAGCAGGATTTGGGGTGCCAGATGTTTCCATCCAGCTTCAGGGCGGGGAGAAGTGGGGAGGGCGCCCAACCCTACAGCCTTTTACAAACGCTAACGAACCTCAGTGGCATGGAGGACGAAGGGCCTCGGTAGCATCCCCCATCTTCCTCTTTAAAGGGGAGGACTGAGGACCACACAGCTCATCATCTCTGAAAGAGAAAGGAATTTCACGTTCAAGATGTAAATCAAAACCCCTTTAATCCCATTCATTCGCTCCTCTATGCAGAGGACCCTAGCTCTGGAAGCATTTTCACAGCCACTACCTCCAAGCCCCCGCCCCGGCACAGTGCAGACAGCGCACCATCGTTGCACATCCGATCCCTACTGATGGGGGGGCGTGGTTTACGGAGCACGTGCGTAAATGCGCGAATAGCAGCGCATCTTCCAGGGATGCGCAGACACAGAAGGCCGCTCGCTCCCGGGAGCAGAGGCGGCTGGGCTTCAAGGATCACGTTTGGCGAAGTGATGTGCTGTGCTGTCCGGCGTCTGAAGGATCCTGAACCGCTTTACTTTCAAGGCAGAGGAGAGCGTGGAGCCTTCCAGGCCTCCCTGCGAGCAGGGGGATCCTCGGGCTTTCAGGTCTCTTGCTCCTTTTCCTGGCCAAGAACGCCCCGTGGGATCCTTTGAACGCCCTGCCGGTTGCAAAGTGCCCTCCTTTTCATGGATGCCCTTGAATGAGCCCATTCACGGAAGCTTTCCCACAGCCCGGAAAGGCATCTGGGCGCGCCCGCTCGGGTTTCGTGCGTCTTGGTGCCAGAAAGAGAAGAGGCACAGGCCTCTGCTTCGCTCCTGAAAGCATTCCTGGGCTGGTGCGTCATGGGTGTGAGAAACCGCCTGAGAGGCTCGGAGGGAAGGCTGTCCCCCCGAAACCGTCCCCGAACCCACTCTGAAATGAACCTTCTTGGAAGAACCTTACAGGATGGGGAAAGCAAGTCTTTCAGAGACTTAACACTGTTTATCAAAGTGGTGTTTATAAATAAGGGAAATGAACGGCAACTTGTCAACACCCTATTTCTTCTGCAATTTTATGTCCCAAAATATTGATGGAAGGGGTAGGGCTTTTCTTGCATAAACAAGGCCACCTAGTAGAAAATGTAACGCCTAGACTCTTCCCGAATTACCTCTGTGTTTATAAAGTCATAGGGGACAGACGGCGGGGTGGGGGTGAAGGGAGCCTGGCATTTAAAGCTTATTGTCACCATTAGGAGGGAAAACAGGTTATTCATTCTTTCATTCATACAAATGTAAGGTGTCTGGCTGTGCTTAGCAGCTAAGGGAGAACCCAGCAGTAACTGGGCACCCCTCCCCAGGGGACTTTGACAATGTCTAGAGACAGTTTCCACTGTCTGAACGGGAAGGTGGTCACTGGCTTCTAGGGAGTGGAGGCCAGGGACGCTGCTGAACATCTTACAGTGCCCAGGACAGCCCCCCAAGGAAACTGGCATCCGACCCGGAGAGTCAGTAGTGCCGAGGTGGAGACACCCTGACGCTGAGCAAGGAGGAAACAGCCATCTCAGCCTTTAGGAGTCACTTTGGCAGGTGTCTTCGTGATATCAAAACTCAGTTTTTCCTGTCTGGTGAGAACTGTGTGCACCATGCAAAGGAAGGATTATCCAAATATCCCTCATATGCAGATCAGAGATGCAACAGGTATGTTTCAGTGGCTAAAATGTGGCTAAGTGTGCAAGGTTAGAGAAGCTGCATTTTCCACCTTAATCCTATCTGGATCCCACCCCCTGCCCCCCCAGGGCAGAGCCAGCTGGACCAAAACCCAAGCCCCTGAGACTGACGCATGTTTTGTCTTTGTTATTCTGTTTGCCCCATCCGACCAAACTCCCTGTCTTCCTGTCATGTTCCTGTGGTTTGCAGGGTACAAATATCCCCCGCTTGTTCTCCTGGTTGCTTTTGGTGTAACGTCTTTCCGAACCTGTACGGGTTCAGCCGATACACGACACGTTAAATACTGTAATTCTACTGGTACCCTCTCCTCTTCCAAAAGTGCACCTCTACCTTCTTCATCTATTTCTAAATTTCTTGTCTCTTGTCTGTATAAGGCGTCCCCCCCTCATCCTTTTCCCCATATATTTCTCTCCTAATCAGTGGTAGATAGCGTGTCTCCTTTTAAAGCTCATAGACAATCTGAACACTACACAGGAAACCACATTTCTACATCCTCCTGCTTTCTGAATCCTGCAGGGGTGGGAGCTTTAATCGCTCTCTGCGCTGCATCGCTTTCTGCCTATTCCTACATCTCAAGGATTAACCCGTTGACGTGTCATCTGAGGCCACGTGAGATCTGGAAAACATGCGTGTGTCAGTCTTGACGGCTTTCTACCTCTCGGTGAACGTTCTCTGTTGAACTGAGACTGTCTGAGGATCTCACACATCAACAGTTCTTTCTGAGCTCTTTGCTCACATTCCCACCCACAGAATGAGCTCCTCGCTTCCCTCTCTCTACCCAGATGCTACACAGCTTTGAGTTCCAACCCCAGGCCATGGCTTCCTTCTAGTTCTAGCACCTGTGTGGCCCCAGATGATCAGAGAATTTCAGAGTTGGAAAAGGATCTTGGGTGTGATCTGCTGCTATTCTTTCATTCAGTGGGTAAAAGAAAAGGAAGCAAGAGGACGTTAGCACGTTGTCAAATATCAGGCCCTAGCACTGGCAGCTTTTGTCCCGAGCTTAGTTTTGGCTGCCCTGTCGGAAGGCGGGGACGGCGTCACATCCATCTTCACCTGAAGCTACATCTCACTGTGCTGAGCACGCGATGGGCGCGCATCAGTCAGGCGCAGCGTACTTTCTGTGTATGTGCTTCCGTCTCCTATGCATGCTTCTACCAGAGGAACTCACCCTACAGACCTCAAGCCAGGCAAATGTTTAGAGAGATTTGGAAATAAGCGGTGAAGTTAGCCATCAAAAGGCAAATTCAAAGCGGGGATGCAAAAGAATTTTCCTTCAGACTATTGCTTCTTTGTCTGGGGGGGCAGATTCATTTCTCCTGCCGTGGAAACTGCATTCATTTGCATCAACTCTTGGTTACTTCCCAGAGGCACACAGCTGGAGGCCACTGTCACCCTGAGATATACTTGCTTAAAAGTGTGCATCCCGTTTACAACCCCTCCCACAGGATTCCCTTTTCCCCAAACCCAGCTACTTGCCATTTTTTTCCATCTTCTGACGCTCATTACTTAATTCCATAAATGTGTTGAGTCATGACTTCTGTTCTATTTCTAGAGAGTCGAGCCTCCCTCTTGCCTAAGAGTTATTCTCTTAAGTAACACATGAGTTTTGACTTATTATATGTTTTTCTCAAAGAGAATAGAGAGTTCGTGACTCAGGTGCGGTCATTCTGGTGTAATAAAATCAGTATCTTGTTTTCTAGCTCTTATGTTATTCTGATATTCAGGGCTGCTGCAAGTGCATCTGGGAACTGGTTTTAGGGTACACGTGTTATTTCATCCAGAAATTTTAAAATATTCTTTATCTTCTTTAGGGACCATGGTCTCAGCTGCCGCTCTGCTCAGCTCAGCGTCCGGCTGCCTTAGATCCCCATCTCACATACTACAGACCTGCTCTTTCTTGAGGAGCCAGAGAAAGGAGGTACGGGAATTTTCTCTTTGCTCTCCTTCTGGATAGCTCAACCATGCTCCTCTGAGAGCCTCAAGACAGAACCGAGCTTTCAACACGCACCCCAATGGAGAACGAGGCGTCCGCTGTGCACATTTGTTATTCTAGAAATCTACCTTGAGGTTATGCAATTTACAATGCTTTTCAGGAGGAGGAAAACCACCCGAAGCATTAACATTTGTAGCCAAACCTCAGCTTGGAAGAAGTGGCCCACAAAGATGCAATCATCCCCAGCAGCTAAGCTTTGCCCTCACCTGTCCTCCAAGCCGCTCACATAGTAAGTTAAAATGCATGACTCGTAACCTCCCTGCAAACGGTTCCACCCAGGAGACACACTGCTGCTGCCACTCCCCTTAAGCTGTTAAGAGAAAAGTGCCTAGGTCGGCCATTTATAAAAATACCAACAAAGAGAATTAATAGAGAATCAGCCAGGAATCTGTGTCCCTCCTGAGCCATACTTTAGGGAAGATATACCTCTCTCTAGTTTTTACCCTTTTGTCTACGCAAACTCAATTCCTCTAACACGTACTCACGAACCATGCCTTATACATGTTTTCTATCCCTTTACTGTGTGTGTGTTTTACACCCAAGAAAAGTATCATTTAATTTCCAGGTAAAGTATGAGAGAAACTAAAATGATGAAGAGAAAGACCGTGGCATGGCTGCAACCAATCCTGCTAACTTAGCCCCCAGTTTAACATAGTACTACTACCGGGCTTCCCTGGTGGCGCAGTGGTTGAGAGTCCGCGCAGGCGGGTTTGTGCCATGGTCCGGGAAGATCCCCCACATGCTGCGGAGCGGCTGGGCCCGTGAGCCATGGCCGCTGAGCCTGCGCGTCCGGAGCCTGTGTGCCGCAACGGGAGAGGCCACGGCAGTGAGAGGCCCACGTACCGCAAAAAAAAAAAAAAAGAAAAGAAAATACTACTACTACTACTACTATTTGAATATGTACTTTCATAAGTAACTAAGCTGTGTCATTGCTTGAGCACGGGCTGTCTATTTTTCGCAGGGTGATAGGTCAAGCTTAACTGCCTGTTAGTAGACAGTCTCTTAACTCCTGTTCCATACAGGAAACACTATACCCTGTGTCAGAATTTTCCTTTTACCTATTCCACTTGTGGACCGGACTCAGGAAGCTCAACAACTATTGCAAACCACACAGAAATGCAAGAGTCTGCAATCCCAAAGAATTCCAACCTAAGACAGGCAGGGTTTGTTCTGGTCACGACAATAGTGAATTAATTGTGGTCTTACCTATTCTTTGCCTGGAAAAGAAGACACCAAACCCAGCTGCGTGAATGACCTACGTCCTTGTTATCATCCAAACCATGGAACTAAAAAGGTTCTGGTGACACGGCCAGCACATATTATTTCTAGCAAACACACACAACTGGACTCTAAAAAATGTACTTACATCATCACTGTGGAATTAGATATGCCTGAACGGGATTTTAAACTGTGATGTAAAACAGAGGAAATTCTGAATAAGTACATTCCTACTAAAATATACTCACCCTAAGATGA